CAGAGACGTAATTGATGTTTTTAACGAGAAGTTTCAGGTAAAGATAACCGTAATCCTTATGGGATTGAAATTGTTTTAATTCTCGTATAATCATTGGTAAAAGTAATGTTTGATCTTTGTTGGTTAGGTGACAGAGAAAAGCGAATATTTAATGGAAATTATTGTATAGGTGTGATTGTGCGAGAAACATTGAGGGAGGGCAACAGGATAATCTTATCCCAGGGTACTGCAGGCTCTTCCTTCGTAACTGAATAAAACTAAAATTTTGTAATTCACTGGTTATCCTTTGGTTAAAACAAGCATTGATCAATCAAGAATCGGCTGTTTTAGTGCTTTTAAAACCGAATAAGATCTTGAATATTGTTACCATATGTTTAGTGTAAAAGTGTTTGTGTAAATCGTTACTATTAAATTAGCATAAGCTTCGTTCTTACGCTTCACTTCTCACGATAATGGTCGTATGAGTATTAATTACCTTTAAGAACACCATTCGAAGTAAAAAGGAATCTTACACGTGTCCTTTACGGAGTTAAAAGAATACAAGTGTCGAAGAACAATAAAAAAATAAAAAAAGGAGAACGTAGTTGTAGCTGTAGAGATATTGATTTGGCTTTATGCCAAGAAATATCTGCTCTAGGAGAATTAGACGTGACGCCTTAGTTCTTGACAAACTACCCTGAAATGCCTGTTTAGAACACGCCAGAAGTTACGTCGTATTAGAAAGTGATCCTGCAGAATTTCCACATGTCCTTCACATGAACAATCAACGTTGTTGTTCATAAGTTTGCGATTCTAGACTTACTTATACTTTTTTGTTTAATCTTAATTAATTGTTTAAAATATTTTAATTGTCTCTCATTCATTTATCTCTTTTTAAATTTTATTCCCTAAAGCATTATTTATTTTAATAACAGACGAGAGGAAATACTATTAACTCACAGCTTTAAATGCAGTTAAGTATCCAGAACTATAAGCAATCGCTCTTTTAATCTCCGTAATGTTTCTTTTGTTGTTAAGCGTAAAGCTACACAATGTGCTATGCTTTTCCTGCCACGAGTATCGAAACCCAATTTTTAGCGGTGAAAATCCTCAGTTTTACCGCTGCGTCGCTGGCGGGCTTACTCTTTTATAGAGCTATTGGTTAGGTTTGGAAATCAATATTATTTGTTACTTAGATATTAGCAAGCACTTTTAACTTTTTATAAGACCCCTTTTTTATTGACATACAGAAGTTTATCAGTGAATGTACAGTTTGTTAGTGCACAGAAAATTATTACCAGGAAACTTCCTAGTCGACTTCCTGATGTACCTACTTAAAATTATTCTTTTGTAACTTCTTCAGTTTAGTAAAGTATCTTTATACTGTTTTCATTTTTCAATAATTATTAAAACCTCATGCACATATAAGCATTTATTAACTCAGTAATAAAAATGCTTACTCAACGACAGCGAAATTAAATCATTAGAGCTAAATTTATCGTTTTCTTTATTTATCAACTTTTAAAATTAATTAAACACATTGCATAGATATCAAAATCTAGGATCGCATAAGAATAATATATGTTATTCTTATGCAAACAAATGTCTATAGTGTAGAAAACGATTGTTTTAAACACACAGACAACTTGCCCACCGATGGCTCAGCGGTAAGTCAGCAAGCTGGGGTTTCGACAAAGCTTTGTGCTTTCAAAGATGTATCTTTATTTCTGGTTCTTGCTGCTAAACAGTGAAACCTAAGTTTTACACTTTTGTGAATTATTTACTTCTTGCATCTGTATTGTGAAACTAAAATTAGAAGCCCAGTTCTTGAAATCTCTCTCTGCACGATTTTCTATCTAATTTCCTGTAAATCTATTCAGCGAGAACTCGAATGTGGAATATACTCACAGTAAAATCTATAAAATCGTAACAAGGCGTTGTGAAATTATTATACCATAGCTGTTTTACTAAAAAAACTAATTACTGGATGTTATATCTGTGCAGAATTTTCTCTACAAGCAGAGATTAAAACGATGTATATTAGTTATTGATGGCATGAAATTTATTAGTTCACCACTCGATAATTACTTACCCGAGTGTTCGCGTTTATATGTTTATCTATATGAGTTAGTAGCCATACGCACATTGGTATTGAGCACAAAGGAAGTCGTACGTCATAAATGTGTTGCCAAGGGGACTTTCAAGCTTTCAACTACACATATCATACAAGAGATGAGAGTAAAGGAACAAAATTAATATTTTTAAGTTTACCGAGTGTTATTACTTGCAGAAAGTTTCAACATTTAGGCTCACGATGATGACAACCTCTATGATTACTTAAAAAATCAGAGTGTCACAATTCCAAATTATTCGTTAAAAATAAACACAAAATTATACATGGGAATGTAGAAACAGGTATTACGCACATATAAATATAAGTAAGCAAATAAATGTGTGTTTATATATATAAGTTATATAACTGGTATTGAAATGTTATGTCTGTATGTAAAACATAAGAAGGTGTGTGTGTGTGTGTGTTTTCTTATAGCAAAGCCACATCGGGCTATCTGCTGTTGTATGTGAAACAGAAGAAGGTGTGTGTGTGTGTTTTCTTATAGCAAAGCCACATCGGGCTATCTGCTGTGTTCACCGAGGGAAATCGAACCCCTAATAGAAGAAGGAATTACAACTACCAAGGATCATTTTGTATTTTGTTAGATGAACAGTTGGTTAGGAAATGGATGGTTAATGGTAGATTTTTTTGGCATTTATTCAGTGACACAAAGCTATTGTGAGACCTTAACCCTGAATATTTATGGTTAATAGAGTGTTATATTTGCTCAAATGTCGTTTATTGTTGTTTCTAGTCCTATTTCCCCGACGATAAAAGATTTAGATGATTTGCAAAGCCACCTAATAAAGTTTACATTTTCGTTAAACATCCAGTATTGCCGGGTACTGAGAAAAGCTTGTATCACGAATCTTTTGACCTTCTTCAAAGATATCACTTACTTATGTTGATGAGGAAGGCTTTCGACAACGTGCCGCATAAACGACTAGTAAAAAAAATATATCTGTGAGTGTTGGGGATAAGTTAGCTCAATGTATTAATGGTTGGTTAGAGGAAAGGAAGCAAAGGGTTGTAATAAATGGTGTTCAGTCAAACTGGAAAGGAGCTGCAAGTGGTGTACTCCAGGTCTGTTTACTGGGATTCTTACTTTTTTGATATACATAAACGATATTGATAGGGGGTTTATTTGTAATTAAGCACAAAGCTTCACAATAGGTTATCTATGCTCTGCCCACCACGGGTATGGAAACCCGGTTTCTAGCGTTGTAAGTCCGCAGACATACCGCTGTGCCACTGGGAGGCATTGATAGAAGGATGGTCAACAAATTGGTCAAGTTTGCTGAAGATATTGAAATTGTGGATGTGGTTGGTTGT